AAAAAAAACAACAAAAGAATTAATAATTTATAAGGCAATATGTACATAACAACAATAAAACAATCTATTGACCGCAAAATTGATAACTATTTCCTAAGGACATGACTTTCCAATTTTGAAAAAAAAATAGCACCATAATATGATCAGAATCCAGGCGGATACCAGTCGATCGTTTGCGGTACTTGTTTTTTAGTGTACACCTCCACAGTGTCGTCTTCTTTGAATCTTATGCTTTTGTCCTCGAGAGCAATTCCAACCTATAATGAGTCATGATAGAACTGGTTCTTCATATACACCCTTCAGCATTTCACTTTTAGAAACAAAAAGCAAGAAAAAACAAGATCAAACATTCTAATAATTCACCTCTGTGTTTGTCGTTGCAGATGAGACCATTTCTGCTTCGTGTTTCATTGATTCGACACTTCCCTCATAGATCACATTTCCTTTCCGGATGAATTTAAACACGCAATTTCTAAAACTCCCTTTTCTTTATACTATAACCTCATGCTAAAAATGAAAAATGATAAGAAATATAAGAAAGGACAAAGAAGTTAGTAAAAAAGCACGACGGACTTTTGAAAATTTCCCCAATCGACGAGGACTCCAGCGATTGGTTGCTTCTTTCGATTGCGGTCGGAGATAAGAAATTCCTAAAAACCGAAAAGTAATAGGAATAATCATAGTAGATATTATGTTTATGACTGCAAAGATATCCGAAGAAAGATTTGGGGATTGAGATAGGCTAATGAAAAAGAAGGAGGAAGGATGAAAGACAAGGAGTAGGCAAAAGGCTGCTATAGTCAGAAAAAGTAGGATGAGTTTGACTACAAAAAAAGAAACTTATAATAAGCCGACGATCAAAATAAAAGTAAAAGTGATTAAAGAAGGCGTTCGATATCAGTCGCATTCGTAGTTGTTAGCTGACAATTCAGCAGAGAATGAAGGAATTGTAAGTGAGGTGAACTAGTGGACGGATGCAACACAAGCTGGAAGCTAGATCAGCAGTGGCTGGTGAAAGCTTGCAAATAAGCTCTATTACAGCACTGAAAAAAAGCAAAAAAGTAGGACAAAAGATCGCGACCCACGCCATAGCTTCGTCAAAAAAATTGAGACAAAATGAATGTCCACCTCAGTTTTATGTCGAAAATCAAATGATTGCTTAAAGTTGAAGAAAGATGATATTTGGGATAAATTCATGAAATCCGATTTCCCTCCCTTGTTGACACAATAAAATGCTTCACCATCAAAACATAATTATTGACAATACGCTCACCTTTAACACATGTCCCTCCCCAACAAGTTCCATTTCAGTCAAGGTTGGTAGCTGTGCCGATAATTCATTCTTCAGCGCCTCAACAAGGCGGTAAATTACATTAAACTGCTCGATTCGAACACCATCACGTTCAGCTTGCTGTCGTATGGCGGGGGGCGGTTGCACATTGAAAAGGTAGATCAAAGCTAAACAATAATGGATATTCAACTGTAAAAACTTGGGTTGTATCTCATACCGCCAGTTTCCTTCGCAATCTCCACATCCACATTCGTCGGTGGACCAACTCCGAACTCCACAATTTGAAATTTGCACTTTTCACTTGTATAAGTTTCTGTGACGTTCAATATAGCTTCTAGAGTTCCTTCAACATCTGTTCGTAGCTAAACTAAGTTATTGTTAGTTTAAAGGTAGAACCATTTTAAACAAGCTATATTAAAATCACGCATATGCAAGAAAATGAAGGTTTGAAGGGGACTATTGCGAAAACTTGCACAAATTAGATGATCCCCACAGAGTACCCTCACAATCAGAATTTACATACACGCAAATGGATAATTTTACCCAAGAATTTTCCGACTTCATCAACAATTCTAATAGCAGCAGATAGAATTCCTTTAACACATACTTTTTAAGGAAGAGTGAGTCAAAATATGCGTGGCTTGAATTAATAAGTTCAAAAGATAAAGCGCAACTAAGCCCACCATGATTCGAAGTTTGGGAAAGTCGTCTTCAGCTGGTTTTTCAAGCCTGTGATCCTTGTGTACGACTCGCCGTAAAGTTGATCCATAGCGAAATCCCTGAGGTGTGGCAGCGAAGCATTAATCAGTGATATAAATGTAAGCTTTTAGCTTGGTGATCCTATCTGATGTAATAGATCTATTTTTAACTTTACTTATATTACGTTAGATAGCGAAAATTAGCAATTCAAGTGACTATGAACGCTTCTATTGCTGCAATAGGAAGTTATCACAACAGAAGTAGGGATAATCAGATATCGACAGCGATTTATCTCGCATTAGTTTAATTTTGCACTAAACATTTTTTAGACATGTTTCTCAAGTAATTGTTGTACGAATACAACATTCCGTATCGTCTTTTATTGTCTCGCAGTTCAAAATGTCACGTCAGTTGATAAAGAAGATGTTAAACTGTAAGTAGTCTGTCCATTTTGATAAGTACGCTCCGCAAAGATGCATATAATAATTCCTACAGATACTCTAACACATTTCTTTCAAATTTAGGAGTAATGAGAAACATACTGAGTTCAACATCTTTTGTCGGTTAGATAAGTATTTCTCGCGTTCTTCCATGCGTTGTCCTTCGATAGCTTTCTGGAATATGTAAGAGGTAAGTACATACTATCATCATGGTCGAATGATTAGAAAAACCTGGGATACGGGAAAATAAGCATAAATAGAGCAGATTATTTCTAAAGACGAAAGCTGGAGAAAAAACAGTGTCCTACCCAATCCCTTTCCGCCTTCTCTGCCATCTCTTTTTCATGGCGAAATTTGATAGCGCGATGAGCTCGATCCATATTCTCCACTTCCAATATTATTTCTCCAGGATTTGGCAAATCTTCCTTCCAGCCAGATATCTGAAGTTCAGTTATACTAAAAGGAGCAATGATAGCTTCAATATTCAGAATTTGTACCCGAACAGGAGTGCTTGGTCCAGCTTCCTGTAAATTTTGTCCGTTCTCGTTCGTCATTGTGCGCACTCTGCCCATAGCTCCACCAGCAACAAGAACAGCATTCCTACGTAGTGTTCCACGTGTTACTACTACTGTACACACTTTGCCTAAGCCTGAACTGAAGAGTCAATGAAACACGTTGAAAACTCGGAGCTCACAAAACCCTTACCATGAACAACGGAAGACTCGATTACAACTCCTTCAGCCAAACCTTTAGGAGTGCTTTTTAAACCCATTACATCGGCTTGAGTTAGGAGAGCTTCCTAAATCGGAAAAATAAGAAATAAGGACGCAAACTACAAATCAAAGAAAAAGTCACCTGCAATGCGGGTAAGTTCTTAGCATGCAACGCCGATACCTCTACACATTGTACGTCCCCACCTAGATCTTCAGGAACAATGTTATGCTCAAGCAATGAGCGTTTGGCACGCATCTAAAAGGATCTTCAAATAACGCAGAGACTTGCTGTAATAAACAAAAAAA